TTTTTTTTCATTTATTTTTATTAGTTGGAGGCTAATTACTTTACAATATTGTAGTGGTTTTTGTCATACATTGACATGAATCAGCCATGGATTTACAAGTATTCCCCATCCCGATCCCCCCTCCCACTTTTTAAAATCCAGAATTTTCTTGGATTTTTTGAAAAATACAAATGCCCAGGCAATAGCTTTTTTTATCCAAAGCTACAGATATGTTTCTGATGAGCTACCATGTTTAAAAACAACTGAACTATATGATGATCTTTTACTTTTATCTAGTTTGTTTCTTTTCCTATTTCATACTCATTGCCCCCATTTCATTTAGTTTGTTATCCAATTTTTCCATCTCTCTTTCTGATGTTCTTTCTCAAGCCTTTAACAAGCATAGTAGAAAAGCTTTTATGTGTATATATACACACACATATATATATGTGTGTATATATATACACACACACACACATACATAGTATGCATATCTATTTTAGAAAACTTACGAGTGTTTGCCTAACTAAAAAATTTATTATATTTTGATTCCATTTGTTTGATTTAGTACGAATACAATGATAGATTTCTAATTTAAAAAATAGATATGCAACAAAGGTTTACTATATAGCACAGGGAACTATAGTCAATGTCTTGTATAACCTATAAAAGAAAATAATTTGAAAAATAATGTATGTGTATAACTGAATCAGCTTGCTCTGCACCTAAAAGACTGTAAGTCGATTAGTCTTTAAGAAATACATATATATTAAGAAAAAAAGACTGGGGTAATCCATCCAGAGGCGCCATTTATTTTCCATGGCTCAAGAACTGGGCATACTGGAGAAGTGAATTGAAAAGCAGTAGGGATAATGACCCCTTCCCTACATAGAGCATATGTAATATGGATTTCTTGCTTTATATCAGCCTTGTTTTATTTTACCTTAACTCATAATCAATGTTTTCAGTGAGTTATAGTCCGTCTGGTCCCATGTTGTCAAGCCCATTTATAAGTGGCAAAGACTCAATTTAACTATATGAGCTCTATGTCAGAGTGCCTATGCCCACTGTAGAATATTTTATGACAGTGGCTGCTATGGTCTGGAGAACTGAAACACCACAGTGATAAGATGGTTAAGGCAAATATACCTATTGGCTAACTTCAGTAGCTCC